TGAGCTGGATGTGATTACACAAGGAATGAGGCACTGCTCAGCCTGAGTAAGGTCATCCCTCCTTGCTGGCTTTACCATTCTTCAGTTGATCTAGCTGAGGTTGAAACATCTCAGACAAACAGTTGCTGTTTATAAACCTCTTCTTACTCATACAGGGGATCTGAAACATCTTGGATGAACCAGACTCTCTGGGTCTGAAGCATTAAGTTGTTTGCACATGTGTGCTTGATCCGAGGTGTTGCATGTGCAGATCCATTGCACTGGGCTGTGTGGCTCCAGGGACAAGTACTGGTTATTAGAGTCTGGCCTTAAACCACTTCTACTGTCTTGCTAAGGAAGAACAACTCCCTAGGCTTTAAACCATCTTCATTTGTTATTTTCTGCAAGTCCTTTAAAAGGATCACAGAATCATAGAATCGTTTAGGTTGGAAAAAACCTTTAAGATCATTGAGTCCAACCGATCTCAAAATATCAGATGACAAGGTGTTTCCATGGGTGACTTTGTGAGGGAATGTACTGAAACATCTTTCTTGGACCATCATCTGAGCTACTCTGTGGCTTGCAGGGATCCAGCTCCTCGATGTGTCTGCCCATCTGTTCCTCCCCTAACAACCTTTTAGCCCAGTGCTTGGTGCTAATCAAATTTGGTGATGAAGTAGAGACTCCAGAGAGGCTTTTTCTTCCAGTGTCTATGGATGTAGGCAGTGAGCAGAAAAGAAAAGTTTTATGCAAGGAAAAGGCGACAGCCTAAATTTAGTGCATTTAGAGATCAAGACATAGTGGTAGGTTCTGCTCATCACACACCTCTTTGCTGTGTGTCAGCCTTCCGGCACTTTTGGTCAGACACAGTCTTGCCACTTTTGCCACATGTTAAAAAAAAAATAAATCACACTGAGTCTTCGAGGGTTACATGAAGTTGAGGACTAGGCTGTTGAGGTTTTTGTTGTACTCTCCTCTTCTGGATGCTTCCCAAGAGCCACTATGGAATAGCTGGAGGCAGGGATGGGATGGACCCTTTGGTTTAGAGCGGGCATGGGCTGCTGTGAAGAAAGGCGTGACTTAATTTAATGCAGCCATGAGCCATGGATGGAAAATGCTGCTGTTGTAATTGTGGCAATACAGCCTACGTGTGTGTGTAGGTGCCCACATTTTGGTGTAAAAACGTGTGTGCTTTTGCACCCTGCTAAGGTGTACTGAAAAGAGTCTGTGTCTTAAAAAAAAGTAGGGTAGTGTGAAAAGAAATCTGTGAAAAACAGGAAGGCTGAAATAAACTAAGGGTCTGCGACCTGTGTTGACACAATTATGAGTCAGTTCATACCTTTTGGTTCCCTCTGTGTTTACAGGAGACTCTGTGTTTGACTATCCATCATCTGGTGTCTTACTGAAAGACTGGCTTAGTAAAGCCCTTTTTTTCCCTCCGTCTTGTGCACAGACACAAAAATCAAAACACTCGAGAGAAACACTGGTTCTTGATAAATAAACAAACACTGGAAACATCTTTATTAAATGTGCCCTTTAGCCAAGGAGCTATTTTTTTGGATTGCACTTAAAAGCAACTTCTTTTCGCCTTGCATTTTTGCCCAATGTAGATGACACCTTTTGCAGGGAAGTTCAGTGGCCTTCATTGTGTGCTAATTAAATAGGCAAATGAAACAGGGATGCTATGCTGAGACCTTTACTGGGCTCTGAGAGAGGCTTGTGCGTCTGTACTGGTATGCTAGGAATGGCTAATGTATGTTTCTGATTTGCATCTGTCTTCCTGACTGGATTTAATTCTGTTAAACTAGCTAGCCCTTTCCAGGTTAATATTGGCATTAGCAACCCTTTCAGTCGATGAAAACTGGTATTTGAGACATAAGTGACAATGACTCGTGTGATGGATACTGCAAGTAGATGGTATTTGACTATCTTTAAAATTCGCAGAGGAATAGCAAAAGAGAGATTTTCAAGAGAAGGGAAAAAATAGCAAGCGCAGCTTTAAAAATTCCTGCATTTGACAAACATGGCACAAAGAGATGCCACAAGTTAGGGATACCCACTAGTTTAAAGGCCATCAGTAAACAAAAATACAAGAAAAAGTTGTAATTTTAGAGGCCAGAGTGTCTTTTTGATGATAAAAGATTCTGGATGTCTGTAAATATTTCTGAATGACGCAAAAGGTTCTGTTGGTTAGAAGTGTGGAATTTTTATTTATTTTGCTCAGACCCATTCTGTGCTTTTTTTCTTCCATAAAAAAGCTGCTTGGGTGAAAGAGTTGATTATTCTGATCTTTGGCAAATTTTCTTTCGCAACTGTCCAAATGCTATATAATAAATCAAGTTTTTTTTCTCCCCATAGATTGAAGCTTGTGGGGAAACAGCCACGGAATGTGTCTGCTGTTTGTTGCATGGAGTGATTTGTTGCATTATTGCAGAAAAATTTTAACTCCTTCAGTAAAGCAGTTTCTGGCTGTGCATTGTACTTAGGTAGAAGGAGAACTCTGACAATTTCTCTCATCAAATGTTTATATTCACTGGGATTTCACAGTCAGAAAGATCAGCCCCACTAATACTAATTTTGCTACGCTTGGTTTAAAAAGAGAAAAAAAAATCCTTCCTTTGGCATTTAACCTCTTACATGACGTTTGCGTCACATTTATCCAGGGTAAAAGCAGCTTCAGCTTCCAATTCTGGCAGGTTCTTTTCAGCGTTGTTAAAAATACACTTCTGTGTGAGAAATGCTTTGTAGAGATGGTGAACAGAGTAAATGGGAAAAAACTGAAGCCCCAGAGTTCACATGCTCACTTTTTACAAAAGCTGGCTCCTTTTTCGCCCCTGCTTTTTTTGTATTGTACTTTTTCTGATGTGATCAAGAACTTCACCTACATGACTTTTTTTTCAGTCACTTGGGAATTTATGTGCCTGGAGGTGTATTGATGATGCAAGCTCTGCAATGGCACTCAGACCTATCTAAACAAGGCTTTTTGAGCTGCCAGCATGGGCACTGAGAGCAGCCAGGGAGGAGTGATGTGGACATCAGCAAGAGAGAGACGCTTGAGTATTTATCCAGCTTCCTAGAAATGCTTTGCAGCCTTCACTGAGCTCCATCCTGTGGCAGAAAGACTGCTATTATACCCCAGTTATCTCATTTAAACATAGCTTGGGTACCTCTGCTCTGCTCTGCAATGCTGGGACATCATGAATTCCCACCAGCAGTTCTCAGGTTCCTTGGCTTCACAGATTTGCCAGTGCTGGAGAGATAAATGCTTGAGTGAGGGGTCTTGGAAAAGGAAAATGTGAGCTTCCAGACTTACTTGCCTCTGAGAGATCGAGTGACAGTATGGCATATGGATATTCATCATGGGATAATGGGACTGTGTGACACCCTGCCTCGCTTCAGCTGGGGACGGTGTCAGACCCAGGGGGTGTGTCTGCCTGGGAAAAGGAGAAATTGGTGAAGAAAATGCAGTGCTCGTGCAGA